AGAGAGGAAGCATGTTTCTCATTAGACTTCAGTGATGGCTTTGAGAGCTGGCATTGTCAATGCTAGGCCTTCGGAGAAATACTCCTACTGGAGGCAAACCCATGCACTTTTGGAAACAAGGTATCAGCAGTGATGGTTTAGTCTTCTCTGGAGCTGTAGCAATTGGGAATTTGGATTTTGTCTTTTTGAGAAAGGATTGAACCATATAACGAATTCTATTTGGCATTTCATATCACTGCAGATGAGAAGCACCAGCTGTTTTTTCTGAAATGGTCAAGTGTGTGTGTTTACATGTCTGAGCATAGTGTGGGGACTTGAAGTACACGGTTCATATATGAAGCACTAAAGCCGTTAGAGTGACGACTTCACCAGATAAAGCATAAAGATGATGATTTGATATTAAAATGTTTATTGTACGGAATTCTCACAGAAAATCTAACTCTTTGTAATGGTGCTAGATCTCAACAGGAGAAAACTTTGATGCCATTCCCCATCAGCTGCTGAGGAAGTATGTTGGATATGCTCGGCAGTACGTGCACCCAAACTTATCTCCAGAGGCTGCACAAGTCCTCCAGGAATTCTACCTTGAGCTCCGGAAACAGAAGCAAGGAGCAGACAGCACCCCCATCACCACAAGGCAGCTGGAGTCCTTGATCCGACTCACAGAGGTAAATGCAAGCTGGAATGCTTAAGGGATTGAAAGCAAAGAGATTATTCCTGAGGTACTACTCAAATCCTATCATTTTTTACAGCTTATTCACCACTATGCTTTTTTTGTTTTGTTAAAAAAAGGAAAAAAATGAGAATGCAAGAGACTTAGAAGTACTTAAGAGCTAATGTTCCTTAACACTTCTTATAAAGCAAAACACCCTTGAGGACATGGAAAGAGAATCTATCACATTCCCCAAAAGGAGAAAAAAGTAGGTGCAGGCAGGAACAACCTGCTGCCCACCTTGAACTTAGAATGTGTCTGTTTTTCCTAACACTGCCTTAACAATACAATAATTCACAAGGCTACACTGCTAAAAAGCAAATAAACTCCAAGCCACAGCCTAAAAATACAAGTATGCAAGAGGTGACATTGACACACTAACAAAAATAGAAACATTTTCCTCTAATCCTCTAGGTTTAGGTTCTATCTCTGCTCCTAAAATTTGTGCTTGTAGAGTGATTGTACAGCCCTTGTAGAGTGATTGTAGCCCTTGTTCATATCAGCTATATCTTAAACATTTTTGGGGTATTTTTTTATGTTTTAAGGCACGATCAAGGCTGGAATTAAGAGAGAAATCTACCAAGGAAGATGCCGAGGATGTAATAGAGATAATGAAATATAGGTAATAGAAAATTATGCTTTAAAAATAAATAAAGCATCACAGTGCTATTCCTTTAAAACCTTTTTTCTTTACATATTCAAACACAGTGAAGAAATCACTTAATCAAGCTTAGGCCCATAATAGTAATATTTGTATGTTAGGTGCCCTTTAAAGCTGCCAGCAGCCCTAAGTAAAACACAACTGCTTAGGTTTGTGAGTTGTGTGGTCACAGAGGTTCTGTGTGTCTGGGCGCAGTAAGACAGACATGAGGCTCTGCTGAAGTGTTTTTTCTCCCCTGTGATTACTCTCTGGCGTGGGTGAACAATTAAAGTTTAAAAGTAATTTGGATGAATCCTTAGTCTAAGTTCCCTAGAGAGTGACTTGATAGGGGGTGGTTTTCTGTGTGGCTTCTGAAAGCTCTCTCAAGCAGTTATGTTTTGGGAATCAAATCCACGTATGTTTGCTTTTATTTTCATGTTGAGAGTTTTATCTCTTTCTGTAACCTGTTTGTAGCATGCTGGGGACCTACTCGGATGAGTTTGGAAAACTGGACTTTGAGCGTTCCCAGCACGGGTCTGGGATGAGCAATCTGTCACAGGCCAAGAGATTCGTGTCTGCCCTGAACAGCATTGCAGAGAGAACCTACAACAACCTCTTTGAACTGCAGCAGCTGCAGCACATCGCCAGGGAGCTGCAGATACGGGTGAGCTTGGCCAGTAGCCTCTTCAGCAACAACAGACTGCCAGGCCACCCACAATTACCTATAGCCAAAGGGAGAGGAAAAAACCTCTGTTGTGCTTCTTTGCAATGGCAGAAATAACCAATGTACTGCTGTTAGGCTGAACGCAGTTCCTGAAGTGTTGCTTTCAGTGCTTGACTCTCTCTGCCTCCCCAGAGGACACACCTATTTTTGCTCCCAAGTTTAGACTTGTGGTGTCCATGCTCTACTTCAGCAGCGCAATGATGTTTCTGCATGACTTCGTCTATATTAAATATTCCTTTCAGGTTTTCATTCCTGCTTTAGACATCCTAAAGTTGTATGTTGAAGGAACATCATGTAGGACACATGGCCACAAATGTATTCTGCCCTGTAATTGATTTGTATTTTGTACTTGTGGGGGCTTCAGCCAAACAGAATTATTGACAGCTAACTCTACCTTTTGCTCCATTTACCCCTTATTAAAGTTAATTTAATTAACTCTAATTCTCCCTTCATATACAGAATATTTTTGCCCATTCAAAGTTTTATACCTGGAAATCAGGGAGAGTTGTAGAAATCATGCTTTCTTGTGCTAGATACTTCTGTTTCAGAACTGAAATTTATACATATATAACTGCATCTTTTCTTCATGTCATAGAGAATGCTGCTTCTGTGTAACACTGCAGTAAAAACAGAGTGTAAGTAAAGCACAAAACAGGGGCAATGATGGTGTGAGACCTCCTGGTAGGTGAACAGTTTGCTAAGGAAACTGACCTAGTCTTAGCCCACTTTATTTCACTGAATGCTTTCAAATCGTTTATGTTGCTTTACATCAGGTGTCATGCTCCAATTTGATATTTTTGTCTTTATTTTCCCAGGTATCTGATTTTGAAAGCTTTATTGGATCCCTAAATGATCAAGGTTATCTTTTGAAAAAAGGTTCAAGAGTTTATCAGCTTCAGACCATGTGAGAAGAGTCACTGTGATGAACTTCCTTGGGATGATCATTCCCTCGGACTGATGGACCTGCAGCAGGGAGGCACATCCTGAGCTGAGCTGCACCTGGCAGAGCACTGGGGTTTGCTGGGCTGGAGATTCTCTTGCAGAAAATTAAACTGGAAAGCTGCAACAGGACAAACTGACACATGGTATTGCTGGCTGGCTTGTTCTCCAGCTCTGCTGGACTGTGCAGGGCTGTAATGTGGTGGAAGGTGTGTTTTTACACTACTACAGTGCCATAAGGGCACTGTACATAAGGTACTTCTAAAAGAGATGATGGACCCCCAAATTTCAGCCCAGAAATCTTTCATGAGAGGATGATAAGAGCTGTGCTTTCAGTACTGTAGTTCATTTAAAGTTGAGAAATGTTTCCAAAAGGTTGTGACACCGTTTTATAGCTGTTACCAGATGACACTTTACTGAAATTGACTTGATTTTCTGCTTTGAAACATGGTTTTTGAAGGAAAAGTTTTATTTGAAATCCAAGTCTGATTTAAGAAAATATCCTTATTACAATATTTAATTTGTAAAGCAGGGGTTGGATTTTGACTTTCATTAAACTTTATATATTTGTTCAAGGCTATTTTAATGGCCGTTACAAGATCTGTAACACCAACAGGTCCTGTTTGTTTCTGTGTAACTGTTCCTGACACAAGGTGTGTTCAGCAGGAGTGAAGTGCTGAATGTTTCCTGACTTTGAAATCAGAATCATGGTCTGGTGCAATGAAAGAGCAGCTGAGAAACTTTCAGTGTAAGAATTTTAAAACCACAAACACCAACACCCCCTCCCTAAAGAAAAATATGTTTTTAAAATCAAGACTGTAGTGCTGACTCTTCTGTTTTCCCTTTTATTTCTCAGGTAAGATATGATAGGTGAAAAACGCAGAAATACTGAAGCTTAGTGCCTCATCCTCCAATTTAAGGGACATCAGGGACCCAATATACTTGAAATTGAAAACTGGTCAGACAGATGAAATGCTTTAAGTACGAAATTATAGTTCTAGATCTGAACTCTTAAGGAGCAAGATCTGCTCTATCAGCTAATCGGATGTAGGTGATAGATACTGATTTTGGCTTAGTACAGTGTTGGGTGGAGGACAGGAACGCGCCTCAGGAGCAAACAAACGACTGCACCTGGAAAAGTGAATTCATTCCCATTTCTCCTTGAGACAAAGTAAACGCAGGCAAGCGAGGGCCAGAAGCAATTCCCGAGGACAAGAGACCACTTTTCCTCTGAGAAGTCTCTTAAGATAAAGCAAACCTTCCTCCTTCAAGGGTTTGTCCGGGACCGGTGCGAGGAGGAGCGGGACGAGGCCGGGCAGCCGCCCAATGGGCCGCTGGGGACCACCTGCCGTAAAGCGCGGGGCCCGGCGGAGGGGCGGGGCTGACGCAAAGCGCCGCAAAAGGTCGCGCGTCCCCGGCAGCGCTCGCGGCACCTGTGCCGCGTGCGGCTCGCGCGCCGTGCCCAGTCCCGCGGGGCGGATGGCGCGGGCGACGCGAGGCCGCGCGCTCCCGCGGGCAGCGCGGCCGCGCGCGTAGGGCCGCCGGCAGCGCTCCTCCTGCACCGCTCCTCTCGCGTTTCGCCCGCGCCCCTCCGCGCCATGCTGGCCGCTGCCTGGCTGGGCAGGGGCTCCTGGGGGCTCCTCCGCGGCGCGGCTCGGGGCGGCGGCGGAGGCGCGAGGCCTCTTGGCGGTCGGCCCGGCCCGGCGGTGTGTGGGGGGCGGCGCGGCGGGGGCTTCTCACGCTTGCCCGCGTGCGCGGGGTCCCCGCGGCTGCTGCGCGCGCCCGCCGCCGCCTGGCGTCTCCTGAGCGGTGGGGCCGCCCCGCCCGAGCGACCCCGGGAGGGCGGCGCGGCGGGGTCCTATGCTGAGCTGGTACGTGAGGGACACTGGGGACGGGGCGGGCGGACAGATGTCGCGCCCGGTGCACCCCGCCAGGCTCTGCGGTGCCCGGGGGCTCTCGTGGCGCCGTGTACTGCTGCGGGAGGCGAAGTTAATGTTCAGCAGGTCGAGGCCATGTGCCTTGCGCAAGCAGCAGGCTGCTTCTAAGGACTTTACAGACTTTCTGTCTTAGTTCGCCTGGAAAAAGTCGTGATTAAAACTCTGTTACTTGCGAGGGTGGGGTTTGCGTTCCTGCCCTGAAGTTTTTTCATTTCTTGTTTTACAGTATGAAAACCCCTGGACCATCCCAAATATCCTGTCCATGGTGAGAATGGGTCTGGCGCCAGTTTTAGGCTATTTGATTGTTGAAGAGAATTTCAACGTTGCACTCGGTGTCTTTGTCCTGGCTGGCGTGACAGACCTGGTATGTCTGCATCAGTTTGAAAAGGCTTTGGGGATTCCAGTGTACAATGGAAATGGATAAAACAGATTTGGTTTTAGATTTGTTGATTTCTAAAAGTGCTAGAAATTTCTAGTGTATTTCCTTTGTGGTCCTGCAAAGGGAATTTGCAGGTGCCTGAAGGGGACTTAATGCTAATGGAGGAAAGGGCAATATCAGGGCTCCCTGATCAGCACCAGCGTGTGCACCTGGTGGTCTCTTAAATGATACAAATATTTGGTAAGAAAGATCACATTTTATGGTAGTTTAAACTTGCTGTTTTACCTGATGTCAGTCATGAAATTTCTCTCTAAAGTAGCGTACATGAGCTATTTTGCTTCATACTCTTCTAACAGAGAGCTATTGAATTTTGGTTTTCCTAGTTGGATGGATTTATTGCACGGAACTGGGCTAATCAGAAATCAGCACTGGGAAGTGCTCTCGATCCCCTGGCGGATAAAATTCTCATCAGTGTGCTCTATGTGAGCCTAACTTGTGCAAATCTTATCCCAGGTGAGGAATTGTCAGTTGTGTGTTCTAGATAAGTAAGAAGGTCATTTTATGCCGAGCAACATTTCTTGTGTTTCTAGAAGGAAAGCTGTCTCTCTTTGAACTCTTGCTTTGACAGTTGCTCTTTGCTCCCATTAAACAATTCCAAAGGGGCCTCGCAGAAAGCAAGTGCTGCCACATACAGAAACAACTAGCATGTACTGCCACTTTCTAATGCAGTTTCTTTAAAGTAATAGTAGTTAGTAGCTCTATAAAATTGTTTTTCATGGACTGGATTGTTTTATCTGTATTGATTGATTCAGCTTAAGCCCTTTTAGGAGTTGTGTTAAACATCCTCAGAAATGCGCAGAACTCGTTCAGGAGAATTTGGGAGTACTTATTTTGTCTTGCTTCCACTTTTCTGTTCTTTTGTTTTTTACCTTTAATCATGGGCACAGTTTTTCACTGGCTGCTGTTGGTTTGATCTTCCAGTTCCACTGACTTCCATGATTATCCTGCGGGATGCAGCACTCATTGCCGCAGTTTTTTATGTGCGATACAAAACTCTTTCTCCACCGGTGAGTGCACAGCATTAAAAATGTGTAATCATAACAAAAAATAAATTAATAAGCGTTTTTTAAAGCTGTGACCAAGGGATTTGTCATCACGAGACTTAGTGGTTACAAGATTTTTGCCAGATACATTTCTGAGCAGAACAGTGTTTAATAAAACATGGTTTGTAAAGATAAGTCAGAGCTACTGTTAACTTTTTTTCCTGTATGTGATGTTTAATAATCTTTTTACAAAAGAGCAGTGTAATTCCTTAGTGCTACAGTTGACTTTTCTTTATCATGTGAACAGGTATATCAAATTGAGTGTATAAGGGTTGCATTTTTTTTCCTCTTTTCTCCCCACAGAGAACACTGAGTAGGTATTTTAACCCTTGTTATGCTACTGCACAATTAAAGCCAACATTCATTAGCAAGGTAAGAGCAGTAACTCATTACAAAAGACAACTCCTGGGTGCTTGGGGCATTGGGTGGTTTGGAGGGTGGGGATAATTTACCACTTCTGGTGAGTACAGTTTCAAAATAGTGCCAACTATAGATCCTGAAAGGTTTTCAACTATACTCTGTCAAAACACATGCTAATTTTGACAGAATAAGATGCTTCATTGTAAGGTTTCTAAATAAATTTTCTTTATGTAGACTAATCTTTTAAGCAGTAATAAAGGTGTATGTTGGTATTCCTTGCACTCTGCTACTTCATGTTGCTCAGAGTTCCTATTTTGCTTTTTTCAGATGAACACAGCAGTTCAGCTGATTTTGGTGGCGGCTTCTTTAGCAGCTCCTGTTTTCAATTATGTGGACAGCATATATCTGCAGACTTTATGGTAACTAATATCTTAAATTTTTTTTCACAGATAACTTAATGTGCTCCTAAAGAAACTGGTAATAGAGATTAATTTGCATGGAACAAAAAAAACTGTGGCCAGAAGATGTAATAAGCCCATATGCCTGAACTTTTACACCTTTAGTCTTAAATGACACCAGAACTAGATATTTATTGGTACTTAATTTACTACACAAGCAAAAGGTGGTCACATGAAACTAGTCAAGATCCAGGAATAATAGTGTAGAAACAAGTCTTTGGGGTAGGCATGGTATACGCAAGCAAAACATAAATTCAGACCAGTGGAGAAGAAAGGAGCAGGAAGAAAGGCTGTTTGGATTCCTCACTTATTTATGCCATAAGTATCCATGAAAAAGCAACCTTGGGATCAGTAAAAAATAGCCATTCTTAATTTTTCTTTATACTGTACCTATCTTGAAACCCAGGTTTCTGCAGCCTCTTTGAAAAGTACATGGAGAAATGGTGATTCCTGCTAGACTTTAGGAAGGAGGGGGAGGGATGGGATGAGAACAGACATAAAGGAGCTTCCCTCGTTAAGTAATGCTGTTCCTTTTTCTGTCACTGGAGATCTGAACTGCAGCTTGCTGCAGCTGTTACAAGTGCAGTTATTTTTCCTGAGCTGTTAGGTAAGAGTTCAGAACAAGGAGTTCTGAATAGCAGATGTCAGAATTACTTAGTGACTTAGTTTAAAGAAGTGCAAAATTCAGTGTTACTTGTCTTCTAGGGAAATAAAAAACCCACCCAAACCAAAGAAACCAAAACTACCAACCTAAGCCAAGAAGCGTTTAAGGAACTATGAATGAACCTTGATCTTAACAGTCTGGGTTTTTTTTATCCTTACGGTAAAACAAAATCTAGAGTTGCCTCTGGATGTAATTTGCCAGGATGCTTTGTGAATACTCTCAGAAACTCCCTGGCGGAGTGCTCAGGGAGGACAGTGGGGAGCAGAGGGGTAGGCAGGGCTGTGGCAGGGACTCCCACCTCAGGGTTCGTGTCAGCCTTTGACACAGAGGAGCTCTGCTCATTTAGGGGTATCTGTGGTCTGGGAAGGAGACAAAAGAGGCTGAAGCAGGAACTTGTTCTTTAGCTTTGGAACCTGGTGAAGAGGGTAAGTTCACGTCTTCAGTGGTTTGAATGCTCCCTGTTCGTATTATCAAGAAATAGTTTCAAAAATCTATCAGTATTCAAGCTGGTAAGTTATGTAGCCTGCAATGCTGAATCTTTTGTTTTTCTTTCTCTAAAACAAATGCTGGTGTGATGAATATTTGTCCTGGTATCCAGTTACAACGAAGCATGCTGCTTTTACCACTGGATGGCAGATGTTTTGTTTATCTAATCCTTCCATTAGCACTGAATTTCAGCACATAAACTGAAAACTGCATTTCTATGGAACTTGGCTCCTGGCTGTGTAGTTAAAAACAGATGCTAAAAAAAAAAAAAAGGCACTTTATATGTTGTCCATGGACCCACATGACTTAGAGGAACTCTTTCCCCCAAAGGTGCATCACAGCTTTCACAACGGTGACATCTGCCTACAGCTATTACCACTACGGCAGAAAAACTGTCCAGGTGATCAAGAACAAGTGAAGCGGTCCAGGTGGTAAAAGGTGAAGTGTTCCTGGAAGGAAAGGTGCTGTGCCCACAGAGGTGGTGGTACTGCAGCTGAGTTTTGGATCAAAGCATGCTTTGTTTTTCTGCTTAAACCATGGTGTCATGAAGTGAAATTTGAGTATGTACTATGTATATATGTAGAGAGAGACTTTTCAATGTATTTTTAATTTCTTTAAAAATGAGGTTGTTTACAAAAGCAAATAAATAACATTCTTAAAAACATGGGTTGCTTGTTGCTTCCATGTGCATTCTGAATAATTTTATGCTGTTTTTGAAGTCAAGACGCAAACTTGGCACCAGATTTGTTTTCCCATATTCATGCAAGGCGCTCAGTACACTGGGATCTGAGAAGAAAAAGCAATTACAAGAACAAATTTGTACCTCATCCTAAGTCAATAAACCAGTACTGCTCATTAAGACTTAATGACACACCTCAGCATGTAATCGAGGGACAGTATCTTCAGAAATTCAAAGCAGAGAACATTTTTGCTTTATATTCCATGGGCGATACAGATAAGCCAAGAAGAGTTCCTACCCTGCTCCCTTTTCTTTTTGAAGATGAGCAATGATGAACTGTACTCATTGAGAAAGGTCAGTGATATTGTGAGGAGTCTGTACCCAAATAGAGTTACGTTTCTCATCCTATATATTGATTTCTAGTGATTGAAAGAAATTCCTATATCTCCAGCTGCTTTTAAGTTTCTAAGGCTGTTGTTTAATCCCAATACCACTGGCTAAAGATGCTGTCCGAATGAATGGAGACAGTGGAGGAAACAGATGTGTTTGCTGTTAATTCTTCTTGTGCTTCTAGCTTCACGATGTGCTCTATGTTCCCCCTCATGCAAGGACAACTTGTTCTTTGCCTGTTCTCTGTCAACAAAACCGAAGAAAGAACAAGGCAGAATAGGTCAAGTTGATTATAAACTCGTATTTTCTCTTTGTGAGCAGCATGCTTTTATGTCATAAAAGAGTGCAACTATGAAGGGTCTCGATCTCTGAAATCAGGAGGGTAAATAATATCACTGTTGTATTAGCAAAGAAAAGTTTCTGTGGGCCCCTCTTTGGAGAGCATGCAGTGTCTTTTGTGACAGTGTTTGTATATACAAAGCATTTTAGTGCTTTTTTTATATTGGAACTCGTACAAAATAGTGTACAGAGAAAACGCTTGCTCCTTTATTAGTACCTTTGTTTTAACTGGCCCCGTGTTTTATGGTCAACTCTGCATCTTTCAGCAAAGTATAGAGGGCAAATCCTGTGAAAGTTTCCTTAAAATACATGAGTAGTGGAGTATTTTCGGTGAAAAAACAGTTCCGAAAGCGGAGATTTATTGTACCCTGTCGGGTGCTTGGTGTTAGGTTCGGGTTAACGGAATTGGAAATTGGTTGGGGAGCATATCTGGCCCCGTGCGGCCGCCGTACCCTGGACCCGCCCTGCCCACGATGGCGGCGCCGGAGCCGCCGCCGCTGCCTGAGGGTTCCAGGCCGCTGAGCGCGCTGCTGAACGGCATTGCCCAGGCCGCCTTCCACGGCAACGCCGGCATCACCGAGGATCTGCTGCGCACCCAGCTCTACCCCGAGGCGCCGCCGGAGGAGTTCTGCGCTTTGCGCGCCAAGATGCGCGGCCTCCTCCAGGTACCGGGCCCGGGGCGCTGCGGGGTGAAGGGGCCGCGGTCTGCGGGAAGCTGCTCCATCGGCCTCGCTCCTGACGGATATGCGCGGGGCTCTGGGTGCAGGGCCCGGAGCACTGCCCGCCCCGTACCCTGCCCTGTGCCCGGCGCTAACATCTCCAGCTCCATCCCCGAGCGGGTGCAGCCCGGTGCGGGGAACGGCCGAGACAGGAGCCGAGGGCATGGCCTGAAGCGGTGTCGGGAGGGTTAGGTTGGACATCAGGAAAAGGGTCTTCACCCGGAGGCGGGTTGGGCACTAAACAGGCTCCCTAGGGCAGTGGTCACAGCACCGAGCCTGCCAGAGCTCAAGAGACGTTTGGGCAATACTGTCAGGCACAGAGTGTGACTCCTGGGGATGGGACTGTGCAGGGCCAGGAGCTGGGCTCGATGAGCTTTGTGAGTCCCCTACAGCTCCGGTCTTTCTGTGGTTCTGTACTTCTGGCTCTCTGGCCGCTCATCAAGAGCCGGAGTTGCTCGGGCTGGGCAGGACAAAGGCGACACGTTTAGGGTGTGTGCTCGTGGAAATAAGAACCTGTTCCTTTCTGAGAAGAACTGCAGGTTTTTTGTAAGAAAAAACATGTTCTGGAGAAAGCACCGCCAATTATAAAGCAAGCCAATTTACTTAGTCAACAGGTTTTGCTTTTTGTGCAAGAGAGAAGATATTTTTCTCCATAACGGAGCTTTTTGGTCTCCGTTCTAAGTGAAAAGCTTGTTGTAGTTCCCGGCAGCTGCATGTGGCTCAGGGGCCCTCCAGGTGCTAAATCCTTGGGTGGCCACTGCCACCTTGTGGGTAAATGCACGGCTTGGATTGGTCGAATTTATAAACGTGGTCGGTAGTTTTAAATATAATTGAGAGTTTTGGAATTGGATGAGGATGATGTCACTCGCTTTCTGCCTTTATGAAGATTCTGTTGTTTATTTAATGATCATATGCATGTGGTGCCCTGAAAAGCCTGCAATGAAAGCTAAATCCTAAAGACTGATTCCTTTAGGGCTCTCTGGTTTTGTCTGTGAGCGTTTTTCTAGTGGGTAACTTAAAGAAAGTGGCCCCTAAGTTCTGTGGATCGTTATAGGATCTGTGCTCTGGAGCATCCTAAAAGTACGTCTTGGCCTTCTGTTTACTCTGAGAACCCTCTTTCCTTCACACCTGCCAGTTTTGCAGGGGGGAAACACTAATATTAGGACTGTGCTTTGGAAGTAGGGAGGCTTATACTTATCTTCCTCTTTTAGTATCTCTCTGACTTGAAACTTGGAGGATTTTTGTGTGGCACTGTATTTGCTGATAGCAGAAAACTTCAAAACTTCAAAAGTTCTGTGCTTACATCTTGGTCTTTGGACACCTCTTGGGTGCTGGTGTTTCCTCAGCACATGATCTGCCTTTTTCCCTTCCTTGTTAATTGCCATGTGAATTTCTGAGCATATTTATTCCAGTTTTGATACTTAATTGATTGTGAAAAATCTCTATGATTAAAATCACAAAAGCTGGGGAAAAAATATGTCTTTGCTACCTTTTTGTGGTTTTATTTTTTCCTTCCTCCTCTGGGTAGTGGAGGAAGGGGAGAAACAGCAGGATGACAACAAAGAAAGTCTAGAAGCAGAGAGATTCATTGCTCCTGTGACTTAATTAGTGTAGGAGTTTATGTCTTCTGAGCAGTAGACATGGATCTGGACCATAAATCAACCTCTTGTTTTCTCTGGAGGACTTCCCAGTACCTTTCTGCATTCCAGCTGTGCAAAGTACAGCACCTGTGAAAAGCATGGAGATGAAGAAGTCCCACAAAAGCCTATTGTATTTACTGTAGCAATAAAAAATTTTAATTTCCCCCTAGATTATATAGAGAGTAGTACTGGGTTTATGTCTATAAAAGATGTCATCATTATCTAGTTCTTCCACCTGTTTTCTTTGCTTCCCATCAATCTGCTGAATATGCATGAATCAGCTGACCTCTTTCTAAAATGTCAAATTTATTTTGTATTGAAATCATGTTTCTTTATCAAATTTACTTTTAAAAGAATCTAATTTCTTGTGTGGAATATTCTGGAAGGCAGAAAAAAGCCCTAGGAAGGCTGCCCCTGGAGAACCATGCGATTTCAGTGTTGTTTTGCTAATTGTTTTTTGCCCTCTGCCTTCATCCTTCACAGCCTCCTCTCTCTTAAGGCTGCAAAACATTGAGAAACTGGGGGAGATCAGCTTTTGTGAATCTTCCCCTCCAGCTTTTTTGGGGTTTCTCAAAGGTTATTTCATCCTGGTTAAAACATTACATTTGTCTGCTTCTTACATAAGTTCAATTTACAGTATTAGTCTACCGGTCATAGTTCCTTCCCATGTGGCGTAATCCCACTATTTTCCTTTCGGTGGCAGTAACATCTTGCATTTATTGAACGGGATCCTTTGCTGCTGGGTTTGAAGTGTCCTCCTTCACTCTTCTGCTTTGGAACAAACTTTACGTAGGATAAATAGTAATACAAATTTCAGCATGAGGAGTGGAAATTTTTAATTATATTTGATTTATAAGTTGGGGTTTTTTTGTTTTTTGGTGTTTTGTTGTTGTTGTTGTTGTTGCTTTGGTTTTATTTCACAAATGCTGAGGAAGTTACCATCTCTAATAAATATTATGGTATGTGAATGGTAAAATATTAATCAGACTATATAAATAATAACATAAGCTTGATATCCAGCATATAAAGTATATTGTCCCTAAAGATTGTCACCCTCCGTCTAGAGACTGCAGCCCTTTCCCTATGAAGTTGCTCTTGTGATCTCAAGAGGGGTTTCCAAAGCATTTTTACCCCTGTTTGAGAAGGAAGAGACAACTCAATCTTCGTAACAGGAACCTGCCCTTACAGGAAAAATCAGAGCAGAAAAGTGGTTGTAAGGTTCTCTCAGCTGTGGAGGATAAAGGCCTTTGCTTCTTCAGCAAGATTTCTGCTAACAGAAACATTTCTGCTAACAATTCATGCTAACTGGGGGAAAATAAATGACTTCTTGTATTTTCTAATAAGGAAAAGAGTTGCCATTCTTCCCTCTCTTTAGATAGCTTGTGATTCCCTCAAGTATGTGGGCTGGGTCATGAACTGAGGAGTACTTTGCAGTTGTCCAAGCTTCAGGAGGGCTGAGAGGGAGAGCGCTTCAGTCTGAAGACTGAGATAAAATAACTTTGGAAGAGCAAATAGGAGAGACTGCTTCCTTTTTGCCACTTAGATTTGCAATTGTGCCTACATCTGTTAACTAAAAAGAAAATATTTTCAGCAAGCTCATTCTTCTCAATTCAGGGAAAAGGAAATAAGTATTGTGTCCCTTTTTTCTACCCAAAAATGTGTTCTGTGTAGTGTTACACTTTTCACTCCAGTGAATGACTGGGCTCCATTATAATTATCCATTATAAAATGGATAATTCTGTTTATTATTGGGCTAGGTGAAAATGTATTAATAAATTTGTGCAGAATTTTGTGAGGGAGGGAATGGCTATAGTGTCATAATAGGATATACATGAGAAAATTATTATTATTATCCAAATTGATGTTTGCCTGGAACAACTAAATAAGAATCCTAGCTTTTTTTTTTTTTTTTCATTTAACAAAACACCACTATTATGTAGCTCACTAATCTGAACACAGCTCAGTTGCCAGTTCACCAATGTCTGATGTTGCAGCATACATTTTCTCGTATAAACTAATACCACAGTTATTGCTTCTTTTTTCCTTTTTCCACCCATTTTCAGCAGTGTCTTAGGAGGGTAGAAAATGTAATATTTACTGGAACTAGCATCTACTGTATTGCAGTGATGAAAATGTGCGTGGACACTATCCTAAAGCATTCTAACTGCTTTTAATGTGAGTTATTTTAGCTCTTAGGTTGGTGTATGTGTGGTCACTTCACAAGGGGACTGGCACAGCTGGCAGGTCACATAAAGTGGAGGGGGAAAATCCTTGTGAACAGTGAAGTGGAGAGGAAGGCTGGGTGCAGAATGTGACGGGGTTGAAGAGTATTGCCGGGAGTGATAAGATCAGTGCTCCACTGCCTGGAGCAGCAATTTGTTGCTTAGGTATGTCAGCTAGAAAGAACAATGTGCCTGCATCATTCGGGATCTTTTAAATGACTTTTTCCTGATTTCTCAAGTTGCCAAAGTTGTGATTTGTGTTGTTAAAGCCTCTCACATTTGCGGTGTTTTTTTCACTGGTACTATGATTCCTGAGGAAATGTGTAGGAGGAGGTGGTGTTGCTGGTGGCTGTGGGATTTGGAGGTGATGGTGTTCTGCACCACGAGCATTGTTTTAAACAACAGGGTGTGAACGAGGAGTCTGTACATTACAAACCTCAACTACAACTGCAGATCCTCAAAGCAGGCAGAAACAGAAGGGCTCCCACCATTATGACATCGTTCATTTAATGAGTGGTATTTGCTGTAACTCACATGTGAGACAGAAAGGCTCGTTTCGTTTGGGATTGTGAAGTGCTGATATTCTGTGATTGTGCCACCTCAGTGAAAAGGCTCGCCTGAAGTTTAATAGTTTACCTGACTTTTTCCAGTGCGTTTTTTTTGGGTTTTTTTGGGGTTTTTTGGTTGCCTTGTTGGTTGTTTGTTTTTTTGAGTTTTTTGGTTTTGATTTGTTTTGGGTTTTTTGTTTGGTTTTTTTTTTTTTTAAGTTAGCTACAGAAAAGTGATAAATTAAGAAAAAAGTCATCAGATCTGTGTCACTGATCTATAATAGGTGTGGTAGGCTCTGTATTGCCAAACAAGAAGCAAATCTCTCTCTCTCTCTTCTAATTATGGTGTTGATTATATCTCTGCAAGCAGAGATCTGGTTGCTTAGCCCCAGTTGTGGAGGTTGGTCCTACCTGTGCGTTTGTAGAGCAGGCAGGTCAGTAATGGCTCTTCGCATGTCTAATGCCTCTGCACTACCTCTTAGTTTTAGAATGCCTTACTGCATTTTAAATCTGCTAATTGCCAGTTAATGGACTTC